AAGCAATAAAAAATTACCTTTTAAAATCCTTTTCCCCAAAGCTTTTAGAACATTATTCCGTAAATCATCCTTTAATAGATCAAAAATTGAATAGATATCGCGATATTCAATAATATCCCAAGTATCTGAGTCACTTAGTGAATTAATCCAAGATTCGGGGTTATCACTGACGAACTGTGAATCGACGCCACCTTTTATTTTATGAGTAGATTTAGCGTTTCCTTTTGATTTTTCAGTATTCGAGGTTATACCTGCAGATATACCTGCGGATATACCTGCGCTTACTCCATTATTTAGCATGTTTGATGATGCTTGAATTCTCGTTTCTTCGGCGAGTATATGACCACCTTTAAAATAAATTTAATGAAATCAATTGTATTAAACTTAAATATAGACCATAAAGAGTAAAATTATACTTGTGTGTCCAACGTTTGTGATTTTCTCAATAGCAACTCCTCCAAAAGAGATGGTTCGTGCATAGAAGTGGCCATACTTATTAGCAATATTTATAAGTTTTTTCACTATCTTATCTTGAGTCTCTTCTTCTATCGCAGCCTCAACTTCACGTTTAAACTCTTCAGTTAATATAATATTACTCTTGTTTATTTCTATTGTTGCATGTCTTATTTTAATATATGAATATTTTGTATATGTTTCATAAGAGTTCAGCTTTTCACGTGAAAATCTTTGATCAATTCCAAAGGAAATAGAAATCAATGGCAGAACAAAATTAGCTTTTCCAAAAGTAATAAAATTTCGTTTACACAATTCGTGAAATTCGCTCTTGCATTCAAATTTGCCATCTGTATTATCGTAATCAATATATGGCTGTGTTGTTTTAACAGTAAATGCACGATATTCAGGATTTTTAATTTGCTTTACCATTGCCGAATCTTTGTCTATAATAAAACCATATCCGCATTTATTACCCAATTTAGCCAAATCAGGACCATCTTTTTTGATAATCTTCAGTACATTTGGACCTCGTTCATTAATATGTAATACTTCATATAGTTTTTTCTTATCTTCATCGAATTCTGAGATAGAAACATGTTTTTGGTCAGAAAAACGATAGCTTGATCTCATACGTTCAGAGTCTTCGCTGTTTGCAAGTTCAGATCGAATTTTTGAAAGGTACATTCCTTTACGCAAAGTACGTTTAAAAGTAGGATTATGGACAGACGTATTATCACTATACATACAAATTATGATATCAGAGTCTTGCAATGTAGAAATATATAGTGTATCATTGTTTTTCAGAATCTTTTTTAAATCATTTGATTTTTCTTCTTCGAGCTGAATTATGCATCCATCTGGCTTCTTAAAAAAGAAGTCTCCTTTGTCATCTTTGATATTTTTA